GCACCGGCTTCTCAGTTCAATTTGAAGGTTTGAATATTCTTTTTTCTCTTTTAGGAATTCTGCTGAAGATTAGTGCTCAGGAAATCAGGTCCTTGTTGGCATCTTGGTCAACGACCTAGAGCCAGATGTTAAAACCGACATGGTCATCGTGTTGGACGGAGAAGCAAGAAATTTTTATCACATCTCCGAGAATACAGGGGCTATCACTACCAATATAATTGCCTACTTCTCTCATGATATACCACTCGCCGTGCACACGCTTTCGGTTGAAGCGTCAGCGAACAGTCTTATCCTGGTGAGTTCCAGCAAATTTACAGTCTCGATCATTTGCTGAACTCTTTTGTCATAGTTTGACTATATCGCCTATGACTCAGGTAAACTTGCGAACACTGGCGGTGGTTCCACCTCTGGTTCGCAGGGCCCTTCATCGATAACCTCCACTTCTACTTCTGGAAGCCTTGTATCCATCACTTCTAACTCTGGGGGCCCTTCTGGTACCAAAACAACGTCGGGCTCATCCGGAACTGGCCTTACAAGCACCTTTTCTCGCGCCGGAACGTCGATCGACGTAGCGACAATTACCGCTTTAAATGTCCAGGCATTCACTGTACCGCTTTTCACCACTACGGATGCAGAAGGGAGGACCTACTATCCTCCCGAACTGACGGCCCTTCCGAACGGTTCCGATCCATCAAACGTTGGGAGCGGGAACTCCAATGGAACCAGCTCAGATTCGTACGTAACAACCTCGATAGTATATTTTGAAGTATGCATATACTGATGCGACTTCGCATTTACGTAGGTCCACTCCCTTTTCACCCGCTCTTGCAGGAGCTATCGGAGCGGCTGTTGCAGCACTGGCCGCCGTCCTTGTCGTCGTCTTCATGTTCTGCATGCGAAGGAGACGCCGTCTGGCTTCACAAGCTCGACCAGGTTCAGCTGAACCCTACATCCTGGCGGGTTCATCAACAAACACCACGCCGTCGAGCCAGAGCACCAACCTCAGCCTTTCCGCAGAACCCGTCCCATATCCTGGCTCCGCACTCGGCCTTTACAACTCTCTTCCTGCTGGTGTAGCAGGTATCGGTGCAAATGGACGGCCTGTCCATGACCTACTGTCTTCACCTCCTCCAAACACGCTTGCGTCACCCATCTCACCCAACCTTCCTTATC